TTTCTATCTTGAAACTAACTGTGTTAAAGTCTAGACTTTTCTCTTTAAATTCATAATCCTTCTGTCATTGATATATTTTCATCCTTTCTTATGCCTTCTAATAACTGCACTTTTAAATAAGTAAGAAGATATGCATCTTCTTAATCTCCCTACATTTCTTCAATGCCATCTTCCCTACCATGGTTGTCATCCTTTTTTTTTCTACAATCCTCAAAATGTTCTTTTGTCATCATGTTTAAGGTTCACCTTGTTGCTCCTACCTAAAATTTCTTCATTTCCCATTTCTACTAAAACTCAAATTTTCTATCAAAATAGATACTTTAAAAAATTAACATCATTTAACATGCTGATGTATTTAATTTCTAAAGTTTAAGAATTGTTTATCAAGCTGCCAAGTTTAAGTTTATTCTGGCAATACTCCAGAATCTGGACTTGCAACAATTTATAGAAAAGAAACATGATACTTCAGTGAAATAAATAATTGTAAACAATTAATACAAAGTATTTGTTTAATTGTTTTAATGATAAAAAAAAGTAATTTAAATGAAATCTTTGTTTTATCCAAGTTTAAATATTTTTATAAATGAAATTTTAGCTTCCAATTATCTTATGATAAATAAATAGACATGTATCATTTATATTGACAACTTATTGATTAGTTGAAGAACATGGCTTAAAATTAGTGAATTTATTTCTTCCGCTAAAGCCAACCCATACAATCTCATTTTAAACTTTGAAAAGGAGAGTGACTCTCAAGCACACTTTTTGGACATCTTTATTTTATAGAGGCAGTGCTATTAAGACTAATATTTTTAGAAAACTGACTACAACCTGTTGTTCATTACTTGGGCCTTTCAAGATTCCTTGCACTGTAAACTGAAAGTCTTTAGGGCTTTAATTAGATGAGTGTACACACACTGTCAAGATGTCCATGATAGGATGTAATAATTCAAGTACAGTAAACATGTCCAAAATGGAACCTGAATAAAATGGAAACCTGCTTAAATTGGAAAAGTTTTTTGGAATGAAGTGGTTTTCTATTTTTAAGAAAACTCGTTTAAAACAAAAATTTGCCAAACCAGAAAAAATATTCGGTATCATGCAATTCTAGTTTATGCCGTTTTTATGTACATTGAATCTCTTTTACAATGTTTTGGACTTAAACTTAGCATTACTCAGGTCCTTGTGGATAAGTTTTTGTTGAAAGTGAACAAAAACATGAATGATTTCATAAAATCGAAACATATGGTTGTTGAATTTGCAGGACTCCTTCATCACATTTAAGAAGATTGGTAGATCTACCAGATGAAAGATCCTGTACCAAAAGGAATCCAATGATCTACAAGCATTTACATAATGATTAGATACAATCATCTTGTTGGAATATACAAATAAATAGCAGTTTGTTTGTTTGTTAAGTTATGGCAATGCAACACTTTGGCAATCTGCCTAGGGGGATGCCTTCTGGGAGGTCTTTTTAAGGGAAACTGGCCCCTATTTAGGCATTACAGACATAGAGAAAACCCAGAAAACTCCACATGGCCAGCCCATCTGAACAAGGTGCAAACCCACGACCGAACTCCCAGTGTTCAGGGTACGAAGACCACTTGGCCACTGGTGGGCACAATAAATAGCCAGTGCCAACAACATGATGATTGCATTTAGAAAGAATGCATTTATATAATCTCATAAACACAAAAGACCCCACACCCCTTGAAGTGGGTTCCTGTTTGCAGTGAGGGGACCTCCCAGAGATAGTTTAGTAACTCTTTTTTACCATCTCTGGGATCTGAATGTTCACCCCTATGTTTGCCATGCGTGGTGAACTATATGCTGGAAAGGGAGATCCTGGTAGTTGAGAAGCAACATAATGTTCCCAACACACTGTTTTGAATAAATAGGAGGCTCAAATCAGGCTCCATTTGAGTCAATTGGCTGGTTGTTGATTCAACTTTGGCTCAGATTCAACTGATTGATGCAGACTGGACAGACATGTCTATTCTTGACAGTCTTGTCATATCAGATAAGATATGCTCTTCTTGATTGCATTGTGAGGGTATAGCTCCTGGGAAACTGGTGTGATAGTCTATGGGAGTCTCCCATGTGATGGTATCTCCTCATTGGGACCCATGGTGGGTGGGGTCACTAGGAGCTGAATAATTATTTCTTAATCATGGATTCAAAAAACATAAAAGTCCAGACAAGTCAACAACAACAAAAAATTTCCAGTCAGCTAGCCTACTTAGTAGTGCACGCAACTGGAGAAAAACCTCTATCTAACAGTCTACTTAATAGCCTTATTAATAGCCTTATTTAAATAGTAGAATAGCCTTAATTAAATCTAACTATCTACTTAATAGTCATTCTAATTGGCTCTTATATTATGCATGTTAAGATGCAAGGCGCACCAATTTTTCGCATTTACAAAAAAAGGTTTCTTAATTTCAATGATCTTAATTAATACCCATTCCAATCGGTGTTTATTTATTTTTAAAATGCATGCGCACCAAATTTTAAATGTTTTTAATTCTAAGATTTAAATTTTATTTGTAATAGTTAGGTTCCAAAAACGGCTAATATCGTTAATGCTTAAATTTAAATGCTCTGTTCGAATTTTCTATTTGATTTTGAATTGCGTGAAGACGACGTACATAATTACGTTGAAAGCGATTGCAAGATTAAAATATTTCTTTTAATTCTATATAACGCCTCATAGTCTGAAGTTTTTGATTGAACCTCTATCTAAGGCTTCTCCTTTCCTGATTCAAAAATTATTTGAAATTGACCACTGGACATCTGAAAAAAATACAGAAATTGAGGTCAGGGTACCTGCTTATAGAAACAGCCTCCTCTCAGCAATCAACAAAGCTTTAGGCAATGAAGATTTTGGGAGACATGGGAATTACAGTAACACCACATGGAAGTTTAAACTCATCACGTGGTGTGATATCTGAGCTAGATCTGATGTCTGAAGATGAATCAGATATTCAAAATTGGACTATTGGATCAAGGTGTCACTGCAGTTTGATGCATCTCTATTCATTGAGATGGCAAATTGATACCAACTAAGCATCTAATTTTGACTTTCAATAAACCAACAATACTATCTTCTGTTGCAGTAGGATATCTCTGCTGTTGCAATTTGCCGGTACATTCCAAATCTACTGCATTGCTTCAAATACCAGTGGTTTGGACATTCACAAGCATCTAGCAGAGTGAAAAGTATATGTACACAGTGTGGAATTAAAAAAACCATTTTGTGAGGGCTTTGAGGGTCACGAGAGTACTGAGTATACAGGTAGTTCATGCTGTGTGAATTGCGAAGACACCTAACAAAAGAGAGATATTCAATGGGTGAAAACTGTTTGATTGTCCTCTTGTTTGCCTCTGTAGATTTCCAACCTTTCTAGATGTTAAGGTGGATCTTATGATCACTTGGATGTAGGAGATAGGCTTCCAGAAGTAAGATATGAATGTCATTTTCAGAAGAAAATGTTTTATATCATTGTTGTGTTCCTTTTAAGGCATGGATTTAACAAATGAGCAGTTACTCCAATATATTCTTAATTTTGGAAAAATCTGCTATCTATTGCAGGAATTGAGCACATCGTTTATCTGTGGGGTGATGTGGTTTGGTTTGTTGGAGTTTATTGGTGCAAGAGCCATACAAGCTATATACTGCCATGACACATGGTATAGTTTGTACATGAAATAAGTAAATGAATAAATAAATATTTGTACAAAATGTAATGATTTAACTATCAGAACAACAGTGACAAAATATTCCAGGAACTATACTACAATAAATAAATAAATAAATGAGTGATCAAATCTCTTTGTAACACTTAACAACTTTCAGAAACTTCAGTAGCTTGTCAAGATTTGGCTTTAAACAATAATGTTGAGTTTAGGATTGTGGAGTTTCCTATTTGATTGGCCACATAAATGAGGATAAATTTCACTTTAGGGATACTCTTACCATATTTTCATGGATTGTCCAGCATGTCGATCTGTCCAGGGAGATCCTGAAATCGCCATATGGAAATATGGTGAAAACTGACATGCCAGTTTATCCTAAGGAAATGCTGGTTTAAGTGAGGTTATACATCCCTCTCTAGAAGGTGCATTAAAAAAATGAGTTATGTCACATAAAAACAAATTTGTTTTTATTCTAAAATTTTGAAACTCAGCATTACATCAAAAACTATGATTATATGTTTAATTTTTTTATTTTGTCTTCTTTCTAATGATGTAAAATACTTGTGGAATGCCAAAAGTGCTTGTTTTATGCTTATTTTATTATAATTTGATTCAAAAATGCAAAAAGAAACATATTAAATTTCAGAAACTTGCTGTAAATTATTTTATCTTATTAACCTATTCAGCTATCATCAGCTTTATGTAAAATTTGAGAGGAAGGTGTTATTTCTAAGGTCAGGTAAATTGTCAGTGTGAGCTATTGGACATTGTGTGAGCTGAGACTGACATTAGTAGATTGTCATTGTACCTCACATTGACTTACTACTACTAATATCAATAAGTCATTAATTGTTTTATTGCCCTGTAAACAAAAACTCTTTTCCTGTCAAATAGTCAATCAAATTATAATGTTGTTATTTTATTGTACTCAGAAGAATGTTTTCTTTAACATTAAATGTTAAAGAAAACATTTTCTAAGTACAAAACTACTTGTTAATTAAATTTTAATTAATTAGTAGTTTTGTTAGATCTGATTAATTTTATTTTGTAGTTGCAGTGTAACTGGCTTGCCAGTAACCCTGGGTTTCTGGTATGCTGGTCAATCTATGAAAATATGGAATCTTGGCCATTTAAGTGAGTGGTTAAGATAAGATGGAGTTTGATTTGTATTAAAACTTGAGCAGTTTTGTTACAGGGGAACTTCAGAGGTATCCATAAAGCAAGATTTTGTTATATATATATAAAACATGAATATTATATATAAACACATGTATTAAATCTATTCATATTTTATTTAATAGGAAAAAACCATTTTGTGAGGGCTTTCCATGGCCTCACTAGATGATACATCAGTGGAAGACGAATATCATGGAAATATTATCAACATGACATCAAATGAAGACATACATGGAAGTTCATCAATCTTGGGTATGAATCTTATGATACTTTTAAATAAATTTATTAGATTGTTTATTTTTATTTTTACAAATTACAAATTTTTATTTTGATTATCAATATTTCAATATTCCATTTTAGAAAACTAACTTCATTTGTTTTATTTATACAGAATGTCTGAAAAGTCTGTAATCTTAGCAAGAAATTTATTTTTAAACAATGTACAGCAAATATTTTCAAAAATAATTCTCAACTGGTTTCTCTCTGACAGTTAGATCTTACAGATGAAATGTTTCTGTCTATTTGGGAAAGAGACAATGCATTAGGAGTCATGTTATTCTATCAACATCTCATCACAATAACCTGACCCCCAAATGCAGTTTCAGATTTGAAGAATCATGTTATTTCATCTTCAAAGATGCTTGGAGATTGAAGAGAAACATATTGGGTGTATTTTTTTGAAAATATGTGCTGTGTATTGTTTGAAAATAAATGTCCTTTATTATTCTAGAATTTTTAGGTATATAATAATATGGTTTTAAAATTTAGAATTTTGTTTTGATATTCTTATTAATTTGATGGATAGTACAAATAAATTTTTTTAACAATGAATGTCTACTAGATACTGGTTAGTTTCACAAGATAACCAACTCAATGACCTAAAACCAGCAATAATAACACTCACTTTAAAACAACAAACATTTTTTTCCATTTTGAATGGACATCCTTAGTAATGGTGATGACTTTTATTATTCTAGTAATACTTTTAGAACATATTTCATTTTTTTTTTAAACAAATATGAATTATTTTGTATGAATATATTTTCTACAGATAATCTTAAAATTTTTTAATGAATTTTTGTTGTTTAATTAATTCAAAAATATTTAAAATAATAATAAACTAATTTGTACAAATATTTTACTATTAATTTAAAATGAATGAAAATATTCAAAACTTGAAAATGTTTTATCTTAAATATGTATACACATCTTGTATATAAACATAGTTAACTCACCTTAAAACAAACACCAATAAAGCAAATTTTGCTGTTGCCATGGCAAAATACCATTGTCACAATGATAATTTTCACATGATAAAGCAAAAATTTTATCAGAACTCATTAAACCAAACTGTAAATTACCTTTACAATGCTCAAGAAATAACCCTATTTCCAATAATGGTTGTTTTTTTACACTTTTTGAAGAGAACAATAAAAAGTGATACTGTAATAAATGTTCCATTTTCAGTAGAATAGATTTTCTTCTCCTAGTAAGCAAAGACACATTTAACCTCTGATTTTAGAGCAATTCTAACATCTGGTTTTAGCAGACCACTCTACTGTACTCAGAAAATAAGGATTAAAGTTTAAGGACACCCATCCCTTTAAATGTATGCAGTTCCATGCAAACACATGCTAGTTTGTATATTAGGAAGTGCATACATTGATGCCAGGTTTGACTACTTTGTGCCAAATTTGGCTCCTGTTTGACTACTTTGTGCCAAATTTGGCTCCTGTTTTACTCTTTTTGCATTAGAAAAAGTGGTGTCTTGGCTACTTATGACTGTATATATGTGTGCTGCTGTTATCATAAATTAAACTCTTATGTCATACTCTGCACAATAGTGTCAGGATCAGTCAGAATGTTGCTCAACAAAAATGATTTCATCAATGAAAGCAGTGATATGTTCAGCTGTCTAAGTCTATTGTCAAGCATCCAGCAGATGCAATAGACACCATTTGTCCATATCTGCAATTTGAAAATGACACAGATGAATATCTAAATTTTCCACTCACAAACGTTATATTTGTGAGTGAAAAAATGTATATATATTTTCTACTTTTTCAAACAATCTTCAACAGAAAAAGTCATATTTCTTTTCACTTCATTTTGTTTAACTGCTCTGATGTACTGTTCCACTCCCTCACCACTTTATTTTTTTTTTTATTTAAAAGTCATTTAGAACATTTAATTTGTTGTTGTAAATAAATTTAATTTAATTTATCTTTATTTAGTAAATTAATTCAAAATATTATTATTTAGAGATTTCAATCACCTTTTAAGCCTTAACTGTCTGCATTATACAATCTTGACCATTGACTCTGGAAAGCGTTGATGCGAATAGCCCGTCAAATGAGTTATGTTTGACCGGTTATTTGCTCTGTTTTTTGCTTTCGCCAGTGAATCACGCTCAGTGTGAACTAAGCTTTAGATTGCAAACTCTTGAAAATTCTAGGTCTTTGTTTGATTATTTCTCTCAGAAATGATTGAGTAGTCAAAAGATTTTTTACTTGGCATGATGTATACGATCACTGTATGAATGCTGATTAATTTTTTGTAACACTCTTTACAAAATAAATAACAACCAAGCCAGATTTTTTTGGGCTATAATTAGGCTAGATTTTAATTATTAAAATAAAGTAACTTGGACTAAAGGTAAGCATTTAGGCATCATCTTGCATTAATGTTAATAATTACATTTATTTTAGACTATCCAAATTCCTTGTCTGATTTTTGCATCAGGAAATTTATTAATATTGATTTATATTATATAATATATAATATACAGAGTCAGTTATTACCATATTGACTGCATGAGTCCAACATCTGCATGCTCTTAACAGTTAAAATGAACATGAATATCATTCATTATTTTTGTGTTAATTAATATGAGATCTATGTAAAACTCTGCCAGTTTTTTCTGTATGATGTCAATTTCATTATCATTCCAGCTTGGGTTCTAATCTGTCACTTGCTTATTTGTAATTTTGTAAAAAAATATTTTCTACATTCTTTCAACGAGCTTCCATTCAAAACTTGCTTAAAGTGTTGTTCATTATCCATTCTTATTATGTGGTCAGTTCATCACCATTGCCAGCCAAATGGCTGAGGAAGTTAAGGTGTTAGCTTATTGCTCTAGAGAATCTATGATCAAATCCGGGTAAACAACTTCAGAAATTTCTCATGGTCAGCTAATTCTGCATATGTTAGGCCCTGTCTCTTACCATTTGGCTGCTCTACTATGGGCCTAATGGGTATGGAATAAAGTGCTCACAAAGTGGAAAGAGCCAAAAATAGAAAATAATATACATCAACAACTATCTCTTAATTTTACTTTGTTACATTTGTTTGACTGCAGAATTTCTTCAAGTTGATGGTATAAAACTAAAGACAAAAACATTTATGTAAAATGAGTAATGTTTAAATATGTTATTTTATAAGTAATATCAATATTATTGAAGGAAACACTTTTATGTAAGCTGAAAGTAATTTAGCTTGAAACCACCTTAAATATATTTTTCAGCAACAATTTTGTTTTGTTGCTGAAAAAAATATTTAATGTTTTGTTCAAGTTATCGAAGGAATTTGAACCTTATAGATTTAGTTACTTAATTATATATATGCTATTGTTAATTTATAAATAATAGATAATATTTAATGACATTTAATTAAATTTTTGGTTTTTATTTAAAACAAGCAATTTAAAATTAAGTTTAGTTTCTTTAAAGTTTATCCTATTTCTTAAGTTAATTAATATTTATTTTATTCATTTCTGAAAGAAAATATTTATTTTCAAGTATAACAACATTATAATACAAAAATTTTATAAATTAAATTTTAATAAAATGGATTGTTTAATATTTTATTAATTTAATTAAAAATAATAATGATGATGATTTATATAAATAAACTTTATACAATGACCTTTGCTTCTATATAACAAAATTAAATGTTAAAGGATATCCCTGTAGATGGCTTCTGTTTTTATTAGTAAGTTATTTTGAATTACTAAAATTTTATTATAAGTTAAATCAATTAAATCATATAAAATCCCAATTGTTTTTACTTCTTGGTAATTAAAGCACAATGCTTTCTGTTAAATATTTTATAACTTATTATTACATTATTAGATGAAATATTGCCCATTTATGTAAACTTTATTATAGTATTCTTCATGGTTACTCTGTTTCTTTAGAATCCATAGATAAAAAAATTAATCATGCTAATATTAAATTACTTGCAGTTTTCTAGAAAATTATAAGAAAGTTAAATTTGATAAAAACACATTTTTAATTTTTTTTTGTGTTTTTAGTGTTAGGAAAAAAAGAAAGTAATGATATAATTAAAATTTTAATTTTTAAAGTTTACTGAACAAAAACATTATTAATATTTTAAAATGTTTTTTATAATTTTTAAACTACAGTCAAATTTTGATGTAGCACTACTATTTGTATACCTGTGAAACTGACACTAAACTGAAATACCTTAAACAATATGAATTGTATATAGCGATGATGTCTACACAAGACTTTGACAGTTTAAAAATTACATGATTTGATGATAACAATGTTAAAACAATAAGCACCAACTTTACCAGAAAACTGGAACTGTACATGTACATGTAGAGAATCACACCTCAATGCAAAATTTCCAGCAAAGAAATTCAATATTCTAACATTTTTCAGCCACTATTTTATTGGCCCTCTTCAGGAACTGTAAAACAGAAAAACCATTCTATAAAAAATAATTTGATAACAATGTTGTTTACAAAGCAAGATTGTGTCTTTATTAATTTACAGATACTAAATGATTCTCTGTTTAATATAAGGAAGAAACAAAAAAGTTTGACTATTTTTACTGGCTATCATAATGGTTCCAAAATTACATCAAAATGTTGATACATCTTTTCCTTTATCATTTCATAATTTAATTACTCTTCTGATCATACCTCCAGTAAAATGGTATTTGTAGTGAGTTGTAGGGATTGTATACCAGTTTACCGATTTACCGGTTAACCGATAAATTGACAAAAAAACATTCGGAAAACTTACCGGTAATTCGGTAAATGAAAAATTCATACTAGAAATTCTTATGTAGAAAATATTGTGTTTATAGATATTTAAAAGGGCTAAAGGAACATTGAAAAAAAAAAAAAAAAAAAAAAAAAA